CACAATTGAGCTGGGAGTAAAACATCATTGATTCCAGGGAAAATGGACAATTTGACAGTCTGTTTAGTTGATGCGCCACGACTTGATCATAAACAGCTTTGCCTTATTGGGGTCAGTCCATACAACTGGAGATTCACTGTAGGGATGTTCCCTCTAAGAATCAAATAAGCAAAGATTTTTCTTCCAGTCCTTTTTTCATGAGGATATTATTTTTATTTACAGTTCCGAACTAAATCTTCCTAAACTAAGAACAGTGCTGTTAATATATACCGGATGTCTGATGCATTGAAAATGTAAAGGACACTCACCAGCAACACTTCTTTGGGACATGCAAAATACTTGTTTCCTGTTTAAGCTTCCCTCTGCAACATTAGAAGTATGCCAGTGCTCTGCAGCATGCGAACACCAACAAAACTGTCCAAATAAAGTGTAATCAGTCAGCCAGCAACAACATCACGTCTCTTTTCTAGCTGGAACATATTTGCCAGCACTGACTGTTTGTCAAAATCACAATGTGGTGTAAATGAAAGACTGATTGACTTTGATGAGTGATGACTTATAATCTCCCATTGCCCCTTTGTATTGGCAGCTAGGCAGTGGTTATATCAGTTGTCACTGCTGAAATGTATTTGTCAGGCCTGCAGGCTGGAGTAACAATGTGAGGTCTTAACACTAATGAAAAACTTTGTGAGGACTCAGCCTACTCAGCTAGGCATGATGGTTCAGACCATGTACTAAACCATGCCAATAAAGACCCAATGAAACCTATTATTATTTATTATTTGTTTAAGAGGATAATCCCCCTTGAGATCAGAGGCGCTGCTTGTCGATAGCCAAGGCAGGCAACTGCTTGGGCCCCAGACCAGTAACTTTAAACCACAGCATTGGCACAAAATGTGAAAACTTTGCAATGACAGTAGGAAACCTCTCTAAGGTGGCCCCAACTAACAACACTCACTCCAATCTCTATGCTCTGCAGCAAAAGAAAATAAAGAGGAATGATCTGAGTGGAAGTGAAAAAAAAAAACACGAGTAAGAGTCGGGACACTGGCAGACATAATGTTGGTGAACGCTGGTTGGAGGGGCCCCCAATGACATTTAGCTTAGGGCCCCAACAGACTCTTGAATCGCCACTGCTTGAGATGTACCATCTCGTTTTCCAGGTGGTCCCAACATCATAAATCATAAACAAACACAAAAACATTCTGCAAGCACTCATAAGCTTGCAGAATGTTATTGTACACTTTTATATATAGACTCACTGTTATTAATATTATTTTAGATGCTGGAAAAAAAACATGTTTACAAAATTACGACTGAAATAACCATTCTTCCTCAGAAGTTGCACCTGTGTACTCTTTCAGTCATTTGACCTTTAAAATATCTGTTTATCCTTTTGCTGTTATGCAATCATCTTAGTCATTTGAACATTAATATTTTCTTTTTTAAAACATACTACTATCGCCTAAATCATTAAGCAGATGAAGTGCATGCATGACACTATTTCCTTCTCGTTTTTCCCCTCCAGGGTACTTTATGTTCTCCTCTTGTCAGACTAATAGTTTCACTATGGATATTACATAAACATGCATATATTACATTATTACATTAAATGTATGGTAGCAAGAATCCTCTGTGTATATGGTAAATAATGTATGCCATACTTGGTGCATTAGTTCAAGTGTAGATGCACAACTTTGGACGTTATTTAGTGTTTTCATGGCTGACAAGATTAAACATATTTTCCCAAATTTGTATCCTCTATGAGCATGTGCATACAGAAGAGGAAATGGGTTTAAATGTTCTGGTTTATGATTTAAAAGATAAATAATTATATTCATCATTCATATCGTGTACCCTTTTTTCCCCTACTCGATAGGATCCTTTTTTATAATTTGAATTTAAAGGTTAACATTGATAATATATTGCAGAGCCCTCAAAGTGTGTATATGTATTAGCATTAAATGAAACTGCATTATGAGGCTAAACAAGCAGATCAAAAAAATATACACTTTTCAAGGGACTTTTTTTTGTGAGGTGAAAAAATGAAACTGGGAAGAATCTCTTATCTCTTTTAGCCCAGATAAGCTATCCTTTGCAAAACTATGTACACATTTAAGAAAAGGAAAAGTATTTCCAGGGGCAGTGCTTGCCTTGTGTGGAGGAATTTTGAATAATGTGAGGCTGCAGCTATGGTGATGAACACAGAGGAGGGAAGCTGAGCCTGATATCAATGTCCAGGATGCATCTTACGGGTGCAGACTGAAGCATGACGCACAAACACTGCTTGTGCAACAGTGACATCTTTTGGTTCGTCCTCTGCTGGTGAAGCCGAGACTGTCTGGCAGCGCTGCCTGCCGGCCAGCTTCACTACAGTAAGTAAAGATTATGATCACATTATGCAAATGACTGTTCCATCTGTACACAGCTCCCTCGTGTTAGTCTGCACTCCCTCTTTGTGTTCTGACAGTTATTTAGGTCCTCGAGGCGACAGCGAGTTCGACTGTGCAGCCATGTGTTGACAAGGCTGAAGGTGATAGGGAGTCTTGCTCTGACAAATACGCTTGAATATATTAGTTTGTTCCAGGTGCAGTGTGCTGGCTGAGCATGAAATGAGCTTTCAGAGGTGAGCTGAAGCAGGCAGCAAATAAAAGCCTGGACTTGGAAATGTTCCCAGGGTGAGCCCTGTTGTTTTATTGGAGCCTTTGGATGCCTCTCATCAACTTTTTGATACATGACAAATATTCACACGGATATTTTATAGCTTTTAAGAAGAGGCTTTTAACTATTGTCATAAGTGAAATATGTGCTGGCATTGGTTGTTGGGTCAGGGGAACATATGCTGAACAGAATGATGAATATGAGTTCTACAGTCTACAGTAATGTAGCATGTCAGTGTTTTATTTCAATTTTGTGGCCTTGAATGACCCTGGACACTAAGCCATGTCCATGAAAAAAAAAAAAATGGTTGTCATTGTTGCTGCCTTGAGTGGTGTAAGAAGAACTGTGGCTCTAAGAGCAGTGGCGATTCTACAGTCTGTTGGGGCCCTGGGCAAACATTAAGGGGGCCCTCCAACCAGTGATCAGCAGGGCAACCAGAGTGAGTGTCAGATATGGCCTCCTTAGGTAGGTTCCTACAATATACCTACAATGCAAAATGTGCACATTTTCAGCCGCTGCTTATGGGCCCTCTACCGGTCTGGGGCCCCAAGCAGTTGCCTGCCTTGCCTGTTGACAAGCAGCACCTCTGTCTAAGAGTGATTATATTCATTCGAGACCACGCTGAGATATGTAGCCAAGATATCGCTGAGCCAGGCTAAGACAATACTTTAGATCAGGGGTTCCCAAACTTTTCAGCCTGGGACCCCCAAAATAAGGGTGGTAAAGTCCAGGGAACCCGCACTGTCCTTGAAGGTGGTGTTGCGCACAGCCGGGCAAACAAGAAACATTTTAATTGAAGAGCTTTTGTATAGATTTTAACAATAATGGGTCAAAAAAAAAAAAAAAAAATTAATTTGTGTTTTTGGAGGCATCTCGAGACCCAATTCTCAGGGGGTCCCGGGTTCTGCTTTAGATGAATGGAGGGCTAAAGATGTTGCCTGGCATATGAGGATTAACATTAAAAAATAAGATATTTTCTTTCTCCCTTTTTGTAATTTTAATACATTCAATCTTTACTTAACCTTCTTTATAATATCATTAGCCTAAATACAGATATTTCTTCATCATAACGATGCAATGTTCTTTCTTATTGTACCTTTGTGTTCGTTTTCCTTTTAAACAAAGAAAAGCAACAAAAGCATTCAACTTTGTATTAATAGTCCTAAAGAGAGTTTCTAAATAAAAAGTCATAACACTCTCAAACGTGTTTTCTTTGAATCCATACACATCTTAAACCAAGTCTCACGGTCATGTGACTTTTATACTTTTGCATTTGAACTAGAACAATGTGTTCAAATGATGTAGAATGCTAATAATGTTGTTTAGGCAAGTATAGGCAATACACTTCTTTTTCCATGTGTCATAAGATCGGGTGTATCTGGTTCTCTTCTCTTTTCAAGTGCACTGTAATAGTTTTGAATGGCGCTCTAAAAGTCATTATTCAGCAAGACAAGCAGTTTATTTTCCATCAGGGAAAAAAAATGTTGCTGAACTACTTGCTTCATAGGCTACTCCTTTTTTCTTTTACAAGAGGCTATGTTTAAATTGTTTCATTCGTCCCTCTCTTCTTCATTGCTTTGTCTGGTGAGGGAGATATCGCCGTAGAACATCTCCACCATTGTGTTTTCATTGGCTCGGGTCTTGAGGATAAAGAAGTGAATGACCAGCCCTGCTCTGTTCCGTTCCAGGGAAAAAATGAAGGGAGTGATTTTTCCCCTGACTCTTCCGCATCTGCGCCCTAACGAAAATCAGCTCTGCGTTAAGAGAGAAAATCTGCTGTACTTTACCGGAAGTGTATTGAGGGTTAACTAAAATAAAATCCTTCTTTTATTTAAAAATTCCGAACAAAATTTGATTTCAAGCCAATTTTTCCCAAGGATAATGCAATATAGATGTTACTCAAATATTTAGCAGTATTTAATATAGAAAATTATTCAGGCATATTTATGAAACCAGCATTTCAGAGAACAATTCTTTGCTCATAGCGTAGCCTATGCTTATGCTTATTTTCTTAATTTGCCTTATTTATTGTTTACGTATTATGTGTTAAATTTAAACACAAACGACTAAAGCAGAAATAATTTATTTTTGAATCCAGATGAAAGTCTGTAAAAATGTAAATTGTGCTTACTATGAAAAATAAATGTTTCAGCATTTTAATTTTCCATGCCACGCTTCATACTTTGAATACAGTTTTTATTATTATTATTATTATTTTTTGTTCATTATTTAGCACTGCCACAAATTACGTTTTAAAATCCAAGCAAATAATTGCGAGATGAAAGAAAACGTGTGGCTTTTATTTTGAAAGCTTTTTCAGGAAGCGCCGTTCAGTCTCAGTGTCGCTCTTGGCACCTTCCTGGTGCTCAGAAGTTGTGGTGGAAGTTAACTTCAGGTCTGTCTCATGAACTTAGTCCATTTAAAAAGTGTGACATAGAGATGAGTGGACAGACGGTCCCCGCGGACTTCTCGGGACACATGTTGGACCTGGACGAGGACGAAGACCTGGAGGTCTTCAGCAAGGTAAACAAAAGTAATTCCTGTAAACAGAGCGAAAGCTTCGGTCTCTCTCTCTCTCTCCCCAAACTGTTATTGACTTTCTTGCTACGTGGATTTGCGACAGGTACGAAGATTCCCGTTTCAACTCTCACTTGCAGGATAAAATATGGTTCACACGTTCCCTAAAAAGTCTGTACGGCATCGTGTGACGGTCTGTGGTGCAACTCAGACTGTCACACGATGAAAGGGAAGGAAACCAAACGTCCTGGATCAGCTGATGGGTTGACCTTAGGACCCCACTGTCCATTTCTGCTGGGTTTTTTTTTAAAGATAAAAACTGGCGCGAAACTCCTTCCAGTTTTGTTTTTTTTACATTTCAACGAGTTGACTCCAAAACAACTAATACAAGAGGCTATCCAGTAGATTAGCTTTTAATTAGGTTAGTATTTGGTTAAGAATTAAGATGCTGAATTAAAATACTCCTTCTGGAAATTACATAGACCTACCAGACTCAGAGTCATGTTGTGGATTTAATTTAATTTGATTATGACAACGTTAAAATGTGCCACTTCTGTATGTAGTTTTGTGCAGGTTGTTGTTTCTCTGTTTGCATCTTGCAAGTTGCTGGTGGTATAGTTTTATACACATGAAGTTAAGTTAAAATAATGCTCTTAAGTAGTCTAGTAAAATATATACAACAAATAATCAAACAGTGGGTTAAGACGGGTAACAAAATATATAGTTTGAAGAAATGACTAAGCTTTTTAATTATTAAATGAGCACACACTTCTTATTGTAGCCTACTGTAGTATTATCTAATAAATACATGATAGTTTATAATGAGTTAAGCCTATTAATCAACATTTCTAATTCATGAATGTGTGCGTATTGTACACTGGCATTACAAAATTGAAATTAGATTTTTTTTTTCTCCCATTTGCTTACTCAGTTATTGCGCTGGGCTTGGTTTTATTCACCATGAATAAAGGAAGATGTCAAACAAATCTGCAATGTAAATATATCTTTAGTTACTTATTCAACAGTCAGGCTGCAAGTACAAGGCCTTATGTGATCAGTGTGAAGTATGCTTGTCTTTTTGTTAACACTCATGGAGGTGTTCATTCTTCAGGTGCTGTTTGTTGAAACATTGAGGTCATTACATGAAGTGTTGCTTACTATTCCTCACCTCTCAGGAAAACTCTGGGATTTGGCCTCTTTGTCTTTTGGCAAGGCAAAAAGTAGAGGTTGAAGCTAAGCTATAAAAGTCCTTGTTTTGATCTTTGTTCTGATACGATCTGAGTTTATTTAGTAACCTAAAAAAACGTTATTTATGTCAGAGTATTTAACTTCCACAGTCAGTCTTTTAATTTCAGTACTGTTTTTCATTTAACCCTTTTCCAATAGACATACAGTAGGGAGTTAAAATCATCCCCTGACATGCGCCCTCTTGTCATGTAGTATTGCTATTTTGTTTCCCACTGGATGTGATGGCTTTCAGAGTATCCGTTCTCTCTTTTTCAGTGAAACTATTGGCCACCTTTGTAAATGCGATGTCGTTGAGTGCAGTGCAAAGTGTTGAAGATATTGACATGCAAACTCCAGCAACCTTGAGCATTTTTTTTAACAGGATGGCTGCCAAGCAACTCATTGCTTTAGGGGTAGATCTTCTACCCCAGAACTACATTTCTACCCTGGTAGATTTGGTGGAAACGCTCAGAGTTCATTTAAAAAGACCATGGTTTTGGGGGATAGTTCCTCCGGTGGAAACAGGGATAAGAGAACAACGGTAGGTCCTGGCTGTGTTTGTGTTCAGTTCTGGCCTCTGGCTAGACACAGTGCTCACCAGAAGATCTCCTTCTTGATTTTATTTCCCTCAAGACTGCATTTTCTTCACACTGTCTCATCCCTGTGTGAATAGATTTTCACTCTGGCTAGAAACCAACATGAAATAAAAAAAGTAGAGCGCAACTGAGTAATCGGACAGTCGATATAAGCGTATCAAGTGACTATCAATATCGACTTATTTTATCGCAGATATTACTAGATTTATTCACCAGTCATAAAGCATTTCATTTAATTATCGACAGCCAACTGGCCTGACTATCAAGAATTAATAGGAAAGGAGTTTTTAAGACTTATTTTTAAACTTCAGCTGCAGTTGGGTGGCGAGTACACTTTTGTGTATATCATAGAACTTTATTTTCTAATGTGAAGTCTGTAAAACGCAGAGTATTTAAATTCAACTTCCAGGGGGCTCTCAAATAAAACAAAGACAAAAGATGGCGTCGAGGCTGGCGGTGAATCATGGGAGTGATCCCCTCTGCTACTCCACACCCCCCACCCCTGAAGAAAAAGAACTCCAAGTTGACCACAGTCAAGACCAAACAGGAAACCTGAGGAAGAGAATATGTTTATTGACAAGCTAATCAATCCACGAATAGAGTTTACATTATGTTTTTAATGCAGCGTTCTCCGATGTAACATCCAGTGTTTCCATGGCAACGATATACATGGCATGTCTCTACGAAAGCCTTTTAATTAGATAAGAAAGTGGATAGGATATAGGATATCAAGAGAGAAGGTGAGGAATGACATGTGGGATATGGAGCCACAGGTCGGACTTGAACCTGGGCTGCACGCTTTGAGGACTATATATAGCCTCCATACATGGGGCGCTAGGCCATCAGTGCCCCAGGGAGATGCATTGTGTATAAGGTGTGAAAAAAAAAAAAGAGTAGACAAAGAGCTTATTTTTCTATTTTATTGAAACACATCAACTCCAACAGGTCTAACAGGTTTGGACTGCAGCAGGTTGTTACCATAACAACTTGATCATCAGTTAGGCAAGGATGTTAGTTGTTGTGGTTCCTCTTAGCGTTTCATTTACTGTGAATAAATGTCTGTTGTTTTCAGCAGAAGTTAGAAGTTGACCAACTGCTGCCATGATCCACTGACACACTCCACCGTCTGCGAGAGAAGTTTGTCCTCCTTGTTTTGTTGAGTGGAACAGTTCAGGGTCCTCTGCTGAGCTCAGCAGTTTCTCAGCCTGCAGATGAGTGCTGCAGGCAGCACTCTTGTGGTTCACTGCTGTGAGCTGCACTAACTGGATCATTTGAATGTGACATGTTCACTGTGGAAAGGCCAGTCCTGATGAATGAGTCATAGAGTTTTTGCATTGAAGCAAAGTTTCTTAAAGTCATCATGAGAGGATTTTTACTCAGTCAGTCATCGTAGAGATTCATTAAAAAAAATGATGACCACTCTTAATCATCAATCAATCAATCAGTATTTGTAAAGTGCCAATTCACAACAAGTGTTTTCTCAAGGCGCTTTACAAAAGAGAAGGTAAAAGAAGACCTTACTCATTGTTATGAAAAATGGGATAGGGGGAGATGGGATTTCCAACTCTATCCACTGTCCTATCTCTCCAATAAAGACACAAAATGCCCAAAAATAAATCTAAAAAAAAAAAAAAATATGGATGGAGATCAGAAAATAATTGTGCCAGTTATTAGTAAAAGCTTGAAACAGACATTCAAAGCATTTCTCCTTCTTCAACCGGGCGCTCTATGAAGAGTCCAGCGTAGTCCTGCTCTATATTTAATCTGAACCTGACGGACAAGGTTTGACTTTGTTTAAGGTGGCGATGCTGTCTGTGTAAATCTGAAATCACTCGGTACATTCAGACCATATTTGAACTTACTGCTGTATTCTTTTAAATTAAAGAACAGCTAAAGTTGCATCCTTTATTGCTGAATGTACAGTAGAGTCTGTGTGTGTAAGAGAGGGGTTGGTCTAATTGAGGATTAATCCATTCCACTTTTTTCTACTAAAACATATTTAGCCTCAGTCAGTTCTCACCCCACACACCATCTGGATTGGTTTGCAAAATTGAAACTGCGCCCACAGGACCCAGATGGCTCCCAGAGTTAGAAGTAAATATAAACTGGATGTATCACTGTTTCAAAATGCAAACTTCTCAAAGTCATAGCAGTCACAGTGTACAAAAATGATAACATATGCTCCTTAAAATGTCAAATCTGTTGTGACGTGCATTTCTCTGCAGGGGAGTGTAAACCTTGTAAGCGTCTCCTTTAAATTTCCAGTTCTTTGTCGTGACATGTACAACACTAGCATCAGTTAAAGAAACTGACCATGTTACACAGTTTTAGGGTCACCGGCGGTTAGCTCTGAGCTAACTTCTGACAGAAAGTTGCAGAATATGTCTACTTCTCAGTGTAAAAAATAATGATTTCCGAGAAAACACGTCCCTGTTCAGAAATAGCTTTGTCCTTACTTCAGGTTTCTCTGTAAAAGCCTGTTTCATGGACCACATACAGAAGGCGATCGAAATGCATTGGAGTTAGCTTGAAATAAAAAAGGTTTTTAGTTCGATCCCTTTCTAAAGGAATTATGTTTTAAGTATTCATCACTATTATGAATATCTACACTCAACAGTAGCTGTCTCAATGAGGGGACTGAAACATTGAATTACGCAATCAAGAGAGTCTCTCATCAAAGACCGTCATGGTGTTGCACTCTGATGACAAGTAACACAGCTTGCATTGTAGTAATCTTCTCTGTGGTATTTTCCTCAGTATGCCTTTTTTTTTTCTTATCTTCTCTTGTCTAGAACACTTCCCTGGCAGATGGAGGTCCCATGCCCAACTCTCCCAGTTCCATGGTCAACCAGTACAGACTGGAGGAGGATGAAGAGGAGCAAGAGGAGCAGCATCAGCAGCAGCAACAGGACGCTCACACCAAAGACATCTTCATCACAGTTGATAACCCCGAGAGCCATGTCACTGCCATTGAAACCTTCATCATGTACAGAGTCTTGACCAAGGTGAGGAGGGCTTCTTTTTCTAATGTCTATATTGGAAGATGGCACCGTGTTTTTTTTTGCATGTAACCCAAGTCATTTGATCATAACTTACCCCTCGTTGTTATTTGGTTATTTGGTTATTTGTGGAGTTTTCCTTGACTCGATCCCTGCGTTGTCCATTAAAGCAACATGTTTATGTTCTGCTCCATTGTACAAGCAGCAAAGGAGGACAGCATGCCATCTACAGTACAAATACTTTTCAAATGACCCGAGTGGAAATCTAACAGTGACGTAGATGGGATGAGGAGGAATGGAAAATATGGAGAAAGTTGTTCAGGCCTTCACTACTTAAACTAAACACTTTAACCAGATCCTGGCCCGACTCCCTGTGCTACTATCAAGTGTGATCAACACTTTGCTGACAGTGCAGTGGAGGCCCTTCACGGTGCATAAGGATTGTATTACTGATCAACGGCTGGATGCACACAGTGTAATTATTAATCTGTGAGGATATTGGACATTTTCAGAACATTGATGAAAGCAGGTTTATGCACTTAATCGTTCTTAAATCTTTATAATAAAATCAGCTGATATTATTTATATTCTGGGGGTCGGATGTGGCCCTCGGAGACGCCAGTTGGTGATTGTTGTGGAATTTCCGTAGTTATTTAGATTGTAATGTACAGACGCCATTAGGTTTATTCACTGTTCATCATGTCAGTCAGGCCTCATAGAGTTCAGCTGTGATTAGATGACCGAGGAGCTTAGAGAGTGTCAACTGTCTTTCCTCATACCTGCAAAGATGTTTGGTAGACTTATTGTCAGCTCCAAAGTGTATTTGACGTCAAGAGTAGTTTAGGTGGGTCAGTATGACATGACCCTGATAATGACAAGATCTTTTGGGATATATGTGATGCCTTTAGGAGAGTCGAGCAGATGTGGTTGAGCACTACACAAGTACACAAGTGTGATGTTGATCCATGTCTCCTTGAGTGTTCATCTTATGTATAAACTTTCACCAATGTGAGCCATCTGAGTCTTATTGTGTCAAGTCTTAGTAATTTCCTCAACTGTGATCCCTGCTCTAAGGGATTTAATACTTCTCCCAGATACCAGGGATCATTTCTTGTTGTCTGAGCACTGATCAGTAAACTGTTTCTACAGACCACATGCAGCGAGTTTGACTCCAGTGAGTATGAGGTACGCCGGCGCTACCAGGACTTCCTGTGGCTCCGAAGCAGACTGGAAGAAAACCACCCAACACTCATCGTCCATGTATGTATCAACACACGTCAACATCTGTTTAAAACATCTGTATGCTGCTGCCCTGTCCACTTGGTTGAACATTGGATACAGCTCAGTTGATAGGATCAGTTAACACATTTCATAAAAACTCTTCACAATAAAATGCAACACCGTATCAGGAAATGTACTGTTTTCTACCTTTACAAGAGAGAAACGGAACTTAAAACCGCGCAGATTTGATCAGAAGCTGCAGCCAAGTTGAACACAGTGACTTCTTAAAACAACATGAACACAAATGAGTTGAATAGGGCATCACAGGCTTGCATTCTTAAAATAATATATTGCATTCCCTGTTGATTTAGTAATACTGTGATATAATGCCATTACCACCCAAAAAAAGTCTCCTCTTTGATGTTAAAATGAACTTCACTGCTCTTGTAGCACATTTTTGATTTATATTGTTCAATCTTAATCAAATACACTTTAGACTACATTCACATTAAAGTCTACATTTACATGAAAGTAACTCTCTTCCGCTTAATCTCTTTTCTTCCTATTTGATTTTGTTGGCGCTGAACACAAACCGCTTCTTTTAGAGAACATAGCTAGCTCTGTGTATGTGGAGGATAAAAGGTTGTAGAAAAGAGGCAGATAATGATGCAGACTAGATCGGCTTGTTTGGTTTGAATTGAGATGTCATTGTGACATTAAACACACAGTATGTAGATTCAGCCACCAGGGGGCTCTCGATCAGATCAGTTTTTAAATGTATGTATTACATGTCGATTTTATCACAGCAGCACATACAGCAAGAGTACGGCAGCGTTTAGTTTTAAGTTTCTACCTTTTAATTCTCGTATTTTCAGGAGGGATTTGCTTCCAAGTTACAGATGTATAAGTCGTTCTTACCAGATGGGCTGTTTGGTTTTGTAAGCGGGAACTGCTCTGTTGACCTGGTCAAGCTTCCTCTGTTATATCTTTTTGTGTCATGCTGCGTCCTCAGCCACTGCCCGAGAAGTTTGTGATGAAAGGCATGGTGGAGCGCTTCAACGATGACTTCATCGAGACCAGGAGGAAAGCTCTGCATCGCTTCCTCAACAAGATCTCGGAGCATCCCATACTCTCCTACAGCCCACACTTCAAAGTCTTCCTCACAGCACAGGTGCGTTTGGCTTCTTCCTTACACAGTCCCTCTTACACGTTGAGTTAACCATCTAAAAATAAGAAATAGCCCTCCAAAATATACATAGTTAAAGCACACTATTTCCCCTGAATCCACATCCTGTGCCCTACTGTTACAGTTCTGTTTGTTAATGGATCAAACATGAGGTACAGTGTGATAATAAGCTAGCTGTAACGGTGCTATGAGCAGTTTATTCTGGTCTCAAGCCTTTATTCTAAGTCAGGCCCTGTGTCCACCTAGCATTTTTTTCTCAGCGCCAGCGTCTTTTTTCAGTTGTTTTCAATGGGTAGAGAGCGTTCGCAGCAGGCAGCAGAAAGCAACCGCCTGGATGAAAAGCGCAGCGCCCAGCCTCTTTTTTACAAGCGCTCTGCTGTTTTTGTGCGGCCGCTCCGAGCGCTCAAGTTGAAAATCGTTCAGCTTTTCAGAAAGGCGATGTTGACGTCACCGGCGCTCTTTTCAAAATGTATGACATTCCCGTTTATTTTAGCCTCCTTCTGATCATATCTTGTACTCACATCTTCTTTGCTCCGTGTTGGGTTAAAAAACAATTTCAGATATAAAACATGCAGTAAAAAGCAACGGAGCCGTGTTTGTCATACAGCGGCCTTTTGTCAACAGACTGTTGTCATAGAGACAGGAGGGACGTGCAGCACTTCTTTTCTTCATGCAAACGCTTCATGCAAACACTCCCGAGCGTACAGTCAGCGCTTTTCAGCCTGGAATAAACTCTAGGTGGACACGGGGCCTCAGAGCTACAGTCATAAAAACGGTTTCATATTATGGGCCTAGTAGTTGCATCCCTTTTCCTCAATCAGGAATTGTTCAGTTTTAGTCACAGTCATGAGTTTTGACCAGTATGAATATTTAAGGGCTGGATTAACATTGCTGCACAGTTCAGTTAAAGCCCTGGTTTGTCTGACTCACCCCCCCCCCCCCCGCAGGAGTTGTCGTCTCACAGGAAGCAGGGTCCAGGTTTTCTAAGCAGGATGGGGGAGACGGTGAAGGCGATGGCCAACTCGGTACGAGGCCTGAGGAGTCGACCGGAGGAGTTCACTGTGATGCAGGAATATGTTGAGGACTTCAGTAACAAGATCTGCTCCGTGGACAAAGTCACGCAGAGGATCATCAAAGAACAGAGAGGTACATCGAAGAGTATTCATGTATATTTATTAATCAGGGGAAAATGACATTGATCATTGATACAAATAAAAATTAAAAGATGGTTGCACCAGATTTATTGAGTCGCTAATTTCCATCTGTAGTCCCAAATAAAAGCATTTCGGAAAGTTGTATGTACCACAAGAATACCTGAAAACATGATGAGGTCATCAAAGTTCAACATTTAATGTTTCTTGAGTAGATCACAGTGAGACCTTGAGAGCGTGGTTATAGAGTGATCCGATTGGGTTTAGAGCAGTCTTGTTAGCCCGGGACCAGGACCATATACAATACAAGTTGTGGAACAGCAAGATGAAATGGAACAATAGAATACAAACAATGCATCCAGTTTTGCTGAACGTATTACTCTCTATCATACATGAGCCGCAGAGTGTTATTGTAAAAAATGTCTAAGCTAACATTTAAGAGTCATGACTGAATTGGTCTAAATCAACACTGATCTTCTTAAACACATGGCTTAAAGGATACAGTATGGATCCTGGCAAGTATTTAAAAGTGTCTTTTTTCTGCTTACAGAGTATCTGGATGAACTTAAACAGTACACCCCCACCTACACCCAGTGGGCGGAGTCGGAGGAGGAGCTAGCAGATCAACTGAAGGGCGTGGCCAGCTGTGCGGAGCGTTGTAGTAAGGAAACAGAAGAGCACATCCACCATATGTCTGAGGTCCTTGTTCCTGCCCTGCACGAGTACGTTCTCTGTTCTGAGACGGTGAAGGTGAGCTCCAAACAGATTGCTCACATCTGAACTCCTCCCACTCACTAGAGTAGAAGATGCTTTTCTGCTGGTCCATATGTTTGGATTGGGTCTGTTCCTAGAAAGCCTGTTTAATTAACTCTGAGTATGCGCATTATAAGTTGAAGGTATTATCAGGGGAGCACCGATACTATGATTGGGCATGGGAACTTTTTAATACATTTCCGCGCTTTAATTTACATTAGGTGGGGATTGAAATATTGATGCAAGCCAATGAAGAGTGTTTTCATTTATCAATTTATAGTTTAAATGTCACATACTTTACTCCTTTTCAGCTAAATTAAATAAGTCTTAGAGCTCCCAAAAAACATGTCTGTGAAGTTTCTTGCTTAAAAATCCACTCTGATCCTGTATTTGATCATGGAGACAAACCCCTCGATTTCCACCCTGCTCAGAACAGGCTGTTTCTGTGTCTGTAGCTTTAAATGCAAATGAGCTGTGTCTGACCACGCCCCTCTGGAAGGGAATGTGGCTCGGGCTTTCTTACACCATGCCCTATTGTTTACGTTGAGAAGGCAGACTCAGAGAGCAGAAAAAACACCTAGCTGTGGGAGTGTCATCCTAACTACGGGTTAGTGTCCTTCGTGATGTCACAAAGGTAAAAATCTCCAAACAGCCTGTTTGAGCACACAATTTTCTGAAAAGTGGAGCAGGCAAAATACGTTGAGGATGGACTTTTCTCATAATTTGGGGGGTTTTAGACAGACTAGGGGACACATGAGTCTTAGAAAAACATGGTTAAGTGTATTTTACACAATATGTGACCTTAAAAGTGCAGAAGCAGTGATTGTCTGAGGTTGAGTTAGGCCTGCACAATATGAGGAAAATGTGCAATGACATTGTTCTATCTTGAGATAACGATAGTGCAATAAATTAATACATTCTTAAAGAGTGTATATTGGCTATAACTCACAGATTTAATATGTATCTCCTTCTTTTTTGTTTTCACAATACATTTTTGAAACATGGTCCTCCTGAAAGAAGAATAACAACAAAAAGCAAGAATATGTTTTCACCACTAAATTGGCACCAATTAATCTGAGGGTACCTTCAAAATGGTGTGAAAGTATTACCTATGTACCCATGTTTCCATCTAATATTTAAAATGTATGCACGCTGAGTGAGAAAGTATTGCTCGTTAATAGTTAATGGCGATAAATTCAGACCGTTGTGATGTGTTTGGTGTGACTGCTCATTTTGTGACAACGTTGAACTTGCAATTAATTGTGCAGCCCTAGTTTGAGTGGAGTTTTTATTCCAGTTGCAGTTCTTATTTCTTGGAAGTATTTTATGACAAAGTATTTTCTTGGGGTTGGTAAAGTTGGTTGGCTCTCCTAATATTTCCAAATACATTCTTGTGACAACACTGCCACGTGGTGGCAGGGCTGACTGTTTGTTGGATAGGGATGGGTACTTCACCAGGGGGTTGTCAGGTGATTGTTGAAAATGAGGCGTGTGAAATCAGTGCTGCTCGAGTTGACCTGAACACTAGCTTGCAGTTGTCACCTCACTTATTGACTTTACTTCAGCTTAAAATAAATCATATAGTGCTAGAAGATGTTTAGGTTTACAGCCAAATCAGTTAAAGGGGACATATTATGAAAAATTAAAGTGTCTGTGAACATATATTTAGGTAACCTGAGTGTCTACCGACCCCAAAAATTTGAAATAAATCCATCCAGCCCTTTGTTTGTGGTCTGCATAAGTCTTACAAAACAGAGAAAATGCTGCCTTTCAAATTCGCTCAACTTGTGATGTCACAGTGGGATTCTATTAAAAAAAATCCCCTCCCCTCCTCTGGTATCTCCACCCATGGACTCCACCCCCAGCCTAGAGAAAAACTTTTGCGTGGGTCCGCCATTTTTATTCTCACTACAGAGGAGTGATGTCTACAGGGAAAACTCAGGGGGGGCTCATTGCATTTAAAGAGACACACACACCAAAACGGAGCGTTCTGAGAGAGCTGGTTTATACAGGGTCACAAACCTCCTCTGGTGCTTGATTCATGTTATATTTTGACCAAAGCACAGCACAGATGTTTCATTTAGACCACAGGGGACTGTTTTAAAGGTAGAAAAGGGGGATAATATGTCGTAACGTAGTTTATGTAAAATTAACTTTATGAAAGTTTGATTAAAAGAAATTCTATGCTGCTCTTTCTCTGTCTCAGGCTGTGATGAGACGGAGAGACAACATCCAGGCGGACTATGAAGCCAAGAACGAAGCCCTCGCATCCAGAAAAGTCGACCAAGAAGCAGTAAGTTGAAATGTAACATTCTTACGCACTGACAAAAAAAAAATCAAACACACACACACTCCTCTCTCCCCTCCTTGCTTCACTCTGAGCCTGCCATTGTGTTTGTGTGTCCTGCAGTCATCTTCCCAGAGATTAGGTGTAATAAAGTGAAGCATGGAGTGGGGCCTCTCCCACAGGGTCCAACCACAGCTCATATTGGGGAGGGAAAAGGGCGTCTCTGGGAGGATTATCTTGATACCCAGGCTTGTTGGCTCAAAATCATTCCTCAGCTCAGTGGGAATAATAGCTGTCAATATTATTTCACACTGTAAGCCCAGCAGCTAATCGCGGCGTAATGAAAATTCCCATATCCTCTTTAGATGACGACTCGCTTCAAAATGTCAGGAGACAAAGAACCAAGATGGAAAGTTAGGAAAGCAAAGGACACAGCTATTTTTAGACTCTCTACTTTAGCTTCTTGCAACCGTGCACTGTTGTGTACATGAGTTTGTGTATGTAGATTCACAGGTGTGTATCCCCGTAACCTAGCTGATATCAAAATCCATCTGTGAGATTTTAATTAAGGAGGAGGACAGAGATCCCCCCCAGACTTGCTGTGTGCTTGTGCGTGTGCTTGTGCGTGTGCTTGTGCGTGTGCTTGTGCGTGTGCTTGTGCGTATGCGTGTGTGTGCGTGTGTGTGCGCGTGCGTGTGTGTGTGTGTGTGTACCAACTCTAACGCAGTCCCCCTGCTTCTAATGCATATCAGACTGCTTCTCCCTTTAACAGATCGGCACTAATGAGAATGGAAATGTCAAATAGATTCCTTTGTTACTGTTTCCAACTGTGCTTCCTGTCATAGAAACGATGTGGCCACACGCTGAGTAATTCATTCAGCTTTTATCTTTAAAAGCTCCCTTGGATTTTATTTCTTTATGAACGATGTGGGAAGATGTCCCACAAGACGTTCTCTTTTGAGGTTTCAAGACGGCTACCTGTGTCAGTGTACATATCAATTACTGACAGGGCTCTGGCTACAGGTTCATTCACCTCCCCCCCCCCCCCCCCCCATTTGACACCATGACGATATGTGCAGGCTCTTTAGGATTAAAAAAAGGTCAAACCAAGGAGATCGTCAGCCGTCGGTCTAGTTTTTGCGGTGTCTGGCTCCGTCGCTACCCGTCGGCCATTTTTCAGCCGATTGGACATGTTGAATCGACGTCTTCGTTCGGTGAGAGAAATCTCTGTGATTGGCTGTTGGGAGGTTTCATTTATCTCCAGCTCTCGACACAGGTTCAGGAAAGCCCCTTGAGCATGCTGCTGTAGTCTCCATGCTTTCACCCATTAGTGTGCTTTCTCCTTATTTGTCATTTAAAGACCAAGGGCTGACAACGCCAGCGCCATTTTCAACTGTTTATCAGACATTATTCTCCATTAGTAGGCTACCTATAATACGAGTGGTGAGCGACAGCGGTGTGAAAATGGTCTTCTCGTATCATAACAAGGGACTACCACCGCCTGCTGGCATGGAGAGTTCTTTCCTCTCACACATGTGCAGAATGTACATGATGGTTGGCCGTCAGCTGTAGTCTTTGCGTTGTGTTCTAGTGCAACTTTTGGCGACGTTAGGCAACGCCACAGGCAGCCTTCATCGCCACTGGTTCTTTGCCGTCTACTTGGTGTGTCAGGGCCTTAACACTTTGAATTTTACATCTATCATGAAAAGAATAATCGTAGACTTCATATTATTCAGGTGTGGCAGGTAAATGAAGAACAAGTTAATAAAACTTCCCAAGTTTCAATTCAGTTAAAAATAATATAAATATAAATGTGTACAATAAGTTATTTTTCATAACAATAATAAAATGACCTAGAATGTGTCCTCATTGCACAAACACACTGGTAGTTAGTCCTAATGATAATGTTGACCTCCTGCATCCTCTCATCTCACAGCACAATCTGGACAAATATTTTCTTTCACACGTTTCAATCATCTTTGTTGCTTCTCTGAAGGAAAAAAAAACGATTCCAAGAATGTAGTTGTTCCCATTGGAGTGAAATTTTGTTTACTTTGTTTGCGTTTTGTTCCATCTTTACAGGGTTTTTTAAGTTACAAGGGCCCAACACACAACCATAGACATTGGTGGGGAGGGAGTTTACCACACTTGTTAAAAGGAAAAAAGAAAATGTTACCAACTTTGTGAAAAGTTGTCGACTTACTTCAGATGCTAAGCTCTGACACACAATTGTATAGGCATAGGTAACATTTGATTGATCAGCATTGTGAACCTTAACTTGACCTTTATTTCATTCCAGTTTGTTGTGAGAAAGAAAAATTCAGATAACTTTATTTATCCGTTAGGAACTTAGATCATGTAAAAAAGCATCAGTGCGCACACAGCTCACATGAATGACAACACAGTACAAAAACAAACCCCACACACACACACATGCCCAAATCACATGTCAACATTGAAAGTGCAATCAAAGAGTCGTGAGTGAGTGAAGCTTGTGAGCCGCAACAGATGATGCACGACAGCATCATCATGAAATATGTTTAAGATTCTAGGGTTAAAAATGAATAAACATTCCAGTTATCTTGTGAAATATATTCAAAGTGTGATACATAGGTTATGGCTTACTGCATGAAAGTTTCAAAGAGTGGTGTTTAACGATCAGACAGGTAGATCTCAAATGATCGGTCCCATGAAGTCCTGAATCGTAGAGATGAGAATCAGCTGTTTAAAAAATCTAGCTGATGGAAAATCTATTTTTACATTAAGTCATAGAAGTATGATTGTCTCAAGTTGTGACATCACTGATCAATATTCATGGTATCTATTCAGTCATAACCTGAAAGTCACTTTCCAAGACATAAAAAAGTTCACTTTAGGGCAGTATATACCGCATGTCCTTTCCAGAGGCTGGTGGTGTTTCAATGACAGAACACAACCAGGAGGGGGCAGTGTTGCTTTAATTTTGCAGCAGTGATACACCATGAACACAGGAAGATATTACCATTACCATTTTAAACACATCATCTTTACACATCTTTATACTGAGAACAGCAGCACCACTTTCATTTATTGTGTTTGCTTTGAATGTTTTTTTTCTCCACCTGTATTCATGAATTACATTTAGTGTTATCTGTTCTTGATTAAAGTACCTGAATGCATCTTTTAGAAATACTAGAAAATAAGACCGTCCAAATTAATTTACGAAATAGATATTTTAGACTTTACAATTTTATATTGTCACTTTTCAGATTCATGGAGGGACTCAGACGTCAGGTTATTCAGTTACTAACGTACACACTGAGTCTTATCTGAAGCTCTGTTGGTCCCAATGTTACATCTGAAAAGTAATAGGACCCTCATATGGATGCTTGTTGCTACTCAACCAAAAGCCTTTTACAAGTTGGCTGGATCGATATCACTGTAGTAACAAGCAGGCCACAGAGATCCCCTCGGTTTGTACAATGCTGTGGATAAGCCCGTGTTAAGCATGCTGTGTTTATTGAACTTGAGGAAATGCCAGTGTCGGTTTAAATGTCAGACAGCTAATCCCTTGCTCAGGCTCAGTGAATACAGCTGCATGAAAAAAATATCTGATTATCTGCATTGTGATGGGAGGTTATATCATTTGTGCTTTGGGTTGAGCATCCAGTCTCAGGCTAACTTTACTTGTATTAATGCTGAAGTACTCTTGATCCTAGTATGTAATAATAACTCTGCTTTATGGAGACACTAACTAATCTGTCAGTGGCGTAAAGGATTGTTAAAGCAGTGGGTGTTTGTTCAATGTATCGAGTAATTCTCAGATGATGATATAATGCTGCTTTAATAGTTAAGAGACCAATGACTTATGAACCATGACATTGTGCAATGAAACATATAAGTACACAGATTTGTTACTCCCCTGCGACCTCCTCTTATTCAGATCAAATGTGTTTACCATAAAGTGCGTGCCTGGTTTAAAAGTGGATAAAGACTAATAAGAGACCACTGGCTGTTTTTATGCTGTAAATAGTTTGTTTTCTGCATTTAAATTCAGGCAATTGGATGACTTCTCAAGTCTACTTGTAAAATCAAGTCTCTCGGGATACATTTAAATCATGCAAAAATCATTTGGATCAAAGTCAGATGTCACACTTCATCTCTAAGGCAGAACGCGCTACACATACAGTACAATAGGTGGCTGTGTGCATCTTTTAATGCTGGTGCAGACTTCAGAACCCAATGTGATATAGAGTGGACCTTTCCAGAGCACACTGAACTTTCGGCGAACATGACACAGCAGCTCTACAACCAGAGCTGCCAAGTCTCACGCGACGACACCATGCCACTATCTCTGACCGTGAGAGTCACTCGATTCAGCGTTTTCACACTTTGTTTTTGGGGAACTTTTCTTGATTCTGGGGATGTTCCAAGGTAATTAATTTCCTAATCAGTTAAACTGGAAATTAAGTAACAATTTAGTTACCTGAGTTTGGCTAACGTTAGCGGGGCTGGTAGTGCCAGCCTTCAGTCCTCCTTGCAGGCTAACATCCACATGCTCATGCTATATGAGGTTAATGTCGCTCCGGTTGATATGACAGTTCAGTCATACACAGCCTACATAAATTTTTTTAGACACAAAAGCTGCATAATCACTCTGCTCCTGCGACATGCTATCAGTTCACTGTGCTTGTTTACATCCTGGTACTAGAGCGGGAAGAAAATGCCCAGTAACTGTAGCTACAGTCAGTTTATGGCCAAAGGGCGGATGGCTGTGTTGCAGTTTGACCGTTATCAAGGGCAAATGTATAAAAATATTATTGATTTGTTTATCCAACTAGTAATTCTGGTGCCGACTAGCGAGGTGTCTACTTACGTTTTGCTGATCTGATGAGAAATTAAGTTGTAGACGTATCAATGAATATTGTTTTTTTTTTTTTGTGTGCCTTTATTAGAGAGATAGGACAGCGGATAGAGTCAGAAATCAGGGAGAGAAGGTGGGTAATGACATGCATGAAAATGAAAGTAGCCAGAGGTCGGATTCGAACCCGGGCCTGCCGCCCGCTTGGAAGACTACAGCCTCCATACATGGGGCGCATGTACTAACCACTGGGCCACTACCTCAATTCAGTTGATTCCCTATAATTAACCCTTGCGCCTGTGCAGACGATCAATGTGTGAACTTTTTTACCCATGGAAATCTAAGGACTATGACTAAGCAGGTGTCATGAATAAACTCAAGTAAAGCTATTTTAAAGCTATAATCTTTCAATATTATAGAATACTTCAGATTCTTATGACAAAGTCCATGTCACTTGTCATCTTTGAGCTGAATCTTTTGTATTTGCACTGACAGTTTTCTGTTGCATACGCAGCAATCTTTGCACATGAATGGGATAATCTGAGGCATCATCTGTTGGCCGCCTGCTGGTTTTCATTCAGAAAATAACCCTTGTGTTCGCCCGCTCAATGTGACTGTCTGCTGTGTCATTGATTCGAGCTGATTCAGAACACACAAACATTATTTTATTTTATGGCCTCGAGGAGAAAATCAAGTCATTACCAGTGAAAAAGTGAATTTAGGAGGCCAGGGGGGAAAAAAGCAGTATCTTCATTCATCACTAGTCTGTTCCCACCCTGTACCACTGAGGGGTGTAGTCAAGGTTGTACTGTGTGGCAGCTGTAAGGAAACACAACAGTGTTGTTACAGAGTCCTGCAGCTCTGCAGAAACAAAATATGCAGCCTGTTATAAGCTACATTAAGTCAAAGTTCAGCTGCATGTCTGTGTTGTCAATTATCTATTCGTCAACAACAGCTTCATGACTTGAGTAAAATGTAAGTCCAAGTCAACACCAGTGACTTAAATTGTACCGCCACTTCCTGTTCCTTCTTATATTATTCTGATACAGTGGACATAACACACACTAATTTTCAAAAATATAATTCTGCATATTTTCAGATGCCAGCATTCAGGTTTGAAGTAATTGTCGAAAACATTTCCCAGGATGTTCGTCAGTGGGTGTGCAAAGCTGTTGTTGGGCTCTAAGCATGTTACTATGCAGGATGAGTGTGGTAAATGGTAGATGGACTTGAGCTTGTATAGCGCTTATCTAGTCTTCTAACTACTCAAAGCGCTTTTACACCGCAGGTCACACCTACACATTCACACACTGATGCTAGAGACTGCTATGTAGTGAGACCATCAGAGTAACTAATCCCATTTATACACATTCATACGCCGCAGATGAAGCAGCTGGAGCAATTTGGGGTAAATGTCTTGACCAATGACTCAGAAGACATGTAGCTGCAGTAGCTGGGGATCGAACCCCCCACATTCTGGTTGAGAGCCGACTGACTCTACCAACTAAACCACAGCTGCCCCTTGACACAAAAAAAGTGCCAAAAAAGACACTAATTGGGTTCCCCGTTAACTTAAACATGATTTATGACTTCATAGTTGAGACTCGATCCTTATCTTTAACCTGGAAGACATGAAAATGATTCCAATGTCTGAAAATAAACCATAATGACATGCATTTATTGTACAAATGAAGAAATATGAGTCATATTTAATTAATTCAACATATGCTGTATTTGTCAGACTGCGATGTTTGTTCTGGGGAAGCTTGACTCAGTGTCCTGTGTGTTTCATTTACAGCTACAGGAGGAGGTGGACGGTCTGGCAGACCGGGTGGAACAGGCTAACAACGCCTTGAAGGGAGACTGGTCCCGCTGGCAGGACAACATGAGAACCGACCTCAGGTCCGCATTTGTATGCACTGCTGAGAAGAACGTGGAGTACTACGAGAAGGTGAGCTCAACAGTCAGACCAACGCTTTGAAGTTGGAATCAAACTTGAATACTAAAGAAACCTCACATCCTTTTTGCTTTTGCTGCATCCTATTCTCTAAAAAAAATCTTCTCATCTCCCTTTGACCTGCCGTTCACTGTGAAAATGTGCAGTGGAAAACATAAACATCGGCTGTTTCGGTCGGCACGATCCAAATCACTGTTAGAATCTGACCAGACAGATTAACTGCAGGTGTTTCACATAGTGTCATCATTCACAATTACATAGAGAACAGTCAACTTTCTTAACTACTCTCTTTTGGGAACAGTTCATCTGATTAAGCAAACTTTTTCTACAAACTACATACTTTTGTAGTCTGTCAAGATTTGCACTTTGTGTGATTAGAAGATTAAGAGTTTCTTTCTCTCACTAATATTGTGATGTCATCAGAAGAGAGGGTCAATGAATATAAAATAACTCTAGCAGTTATTAGGGCGTGGGGTGTAGGGATTAAGGCGTAGTGGGGGCCTCAGTGTTAACGTCAGTCCTCTCTCAACCAGAAGGCTGGAGGTTCGATCCCCAGCTCCTGCAGCCACATGTATGATGTGTCCTTGGGCAAGTATCTTAAAGCCAAGTGGTTCTTGCTGCTTTGTCGGCGGCGTATGAATGGGATCAGTTACTTCTAACGGTCACTTTACATGTCAGCCTCTACCATCAGTGTGTATCGGCAAAGCGCACACCTACCGAAAAGCGCTTTGAGTAGTCAGAAGACTAAAGCGCTATACAACTTCAAGTCCATTCATCATTATACTGGCTTGTCTTCTGTTTAGAAAATCTTTAAAAAACTTAGACCCTCCATCTCCCAGTATACCATCTCCATTTATTTAATATGACATTTGTGTCACTAAAAGATGTGTTACATTTTTAAGCACGACTGCCTTGTAAAATCTTGGAACAGGATGCAGGGAATGCTATCATCCTTAGTGATGATTTAGGATATGGCTTGTAAATCTCAGTTTTGTCTCTTTTTATGTTTATTGTTTGTCATTTGTTCTCACTAACATTCCCTGGTTAGTTTTCTTTTTTTTTTTTTAAGCATATTAACTTATAAAAGCAAGACTCAAACAACAGAAGCTTGAGCAGAGGCGCTGCTTGTTAATAGGCAAGACATGCAACTGCCCCAGGCCAGTAGTGGGCCCCCAAGGCCTTAAATCACAGCATTGCCTCAAAATGTGCAAATGTTGCATTGGCAGTATAAAACCTCCCTAAGGGGGCCCCATCTGATAGCCCATTGTCTTTATTCCATACTACTTGTTGGAAGTGTTATTGCTGTGAAAACCAAAGTTTGTCAATGAAAGTTACCTAAGGAAAATGAAGATGAATTATCAGTATGGGAGTGAAAAAAGAAAAATGATTTTTTTTTGCCTAGGGCCCCAACAAACTCTAGCTGTGCCACTGAGCATGAGGCACTCCTTTCACAGTTTCTCATATTTGTGTCATTCATACACTTGACAAACAAAACCAAATCTCACCTAGTTTACGGTGACTACTCCAAAATGAAGTCTTATATTATAAGACCACTATATTATTTTACTCTGTCCTCGTTGATGCTTAACGTTTGACCAAATAAAGACCAGCAGAGATAAACAGTTATTACCAAAACTAAGAGTTAACCGTAAAAGACAGCTATCCTGAGAAAAGGAAAGTGTGGCTATGTTATAAGCAGATGTGCAATAAAAAGACCCCAGAAAGAATACAACTGACTTCCGAGAATGAGTACATAATATAGGGATTAAACATCCAGCTGGTTTCATGTCTTGATGAATCTCAGAGGGGGGAGGGAGGGGGGCGCATTAGACCTGAGAGAAGAGGATTGAGATATTGGATGAATAGAATAGGAAACATATGCGAAACCTAGAGAGGGAGAAGTGGCAGTTGCAACGTGGACGAGATTAACGAGCAGGCAGAGCAGCAGAGGCAGGAGGGAATTAAACGCTGAGAAGAACAATGGAGCTTGTTGGAAGACAGAGCCTCACAGGAGGATGGCAATAAGACGATGAAGCTGTTACGGAAGCAATCATTTACTTTTCTATTGGTTTTGTTAGTCATTCGGGACTCTTAAGTCTGCAGTTAGGACAGTGATATGCCTCTTTTTACTTTGGATGTTTTCTTGGTCACAGAGACTAGAACTCTGTCAACAGATGGAGCCCTTTCTTATATTTATGTCTCCTGGTAAATCAATCAATCTTTATTCGTATAGCGTCATTATCAGCCGATAATATTGATTTATCTCTAATTTGTATATTTGATCGTTCCTTTTGAGTCTGAAATTGTAAAAGTCAGGTGTTTTCCTTTAATTATACACCTTCCTGTTCCTGTTAAAGAAAATCTTTATGCTCTTTATACTACAATGTTTGTGATAGGGATTTACTAGCACTGCCAATGTTTGCCACACTCTGCAAACCAAACTACATCATTAACCAGCAGTCAATTTGAAATAACTTTGACTGTTATCTGAGTGTTTTCATACCTTTTGGACTAGTCGGTCAGTCGAAAATGACATTTCTCTGTTTACCCGATGAGGAAAATGGATGGCTTGGAACATCCCTAGTTTGACACAACATTGGCTTCTCATTAAAAAAATTATTAAAAAAATAATTCTCTGAGTTTAGTGGTGAAGATGCAACAAGACCGACCCAAACCCCATCTAACTCCTTGAAGCTTCATGAGAGTAAAGTCCCTGCAGCATGCTTCCAAAATCTTAAACTAGCATTTGCTTTTTGATTGCCTGATACACTTGTATGTGATGGAAATCTCCAAATGTTTAGGTATTATGTATTAACTTTAAGTTTTATTGGCTAACTCATGTGGAATAGAAATGTTTTATACATGGTTGGTTGTATAAAAATAGACCTGTGAGGACCCAACATACAGATCATGTGGTGTTGCCACAAAGCCTAAAATATTAGTGTTTGGAAACTGATTTTAGTTTTAATCAGTGTCTGTGGGAGTTTGTGGAGTTTGAAGCAGTTTGTGTGAACGTGTCATTGGTATAATTGGCTCTTCTGGCAAGGGCAGGCCATCCCTCCTGGCCTCTACCTGCAGCAGCCCTGACAACAACACTCATCACCTGACAGAGTGGCCTGCGGCAGGCAAATACACTACAAAGAATCACTACTAGTGAGCATTCATCTGAGTGTGAGAGTAACAATGTGTGTATAAAAGAAGCCAGAGAGCAAAGGCTTCTGAGGCCCTCCTGTACAGCTAGTGAAATTAACAAAACATGCCTGTTCTCTGGATACAACCAAATGCACACTCGACAATACAGAGAAATGAGGCTGCTTTCTGCATATTCATGAGTTGTACCACACATAAATTTAGCTCCTACCTTTGCATATTTAAAAATTTAAATATTAATGATTCTAAAAGGTTCTTTATTTGCCCACGAGGAAGGAAGTCAAGAATAGAACATTTTGTGTTAATGCTGCATTAATTGTTCCTTTTGTTATTTGTGAACACAATATTATAATGTATTCAGTCAGGCAGGGATAGCCATGTCAACAAGCAACTCTGGACGATTCCACGGCCAGTGTGTCTGACATTTTCAGGAGTGCATATATAAAACCAGCGTGCGTGTGTTTGTGTTAGTGAGTAGGTAGTAAATTCAGTACTCGATGTCGATGTTGCGGATAAAGCAACAGAGTCTGACGCTATTGTGTAGTAAATTCAGTACTCAATAATTCCTAGCTGACAGTTTCTTGCAAGCCGGCCTCTTGTCTTCCTGAGTCTATTGTCACTTCTCTTGTTTCTGCCAAAGAGCTCAGACTGCGTATCAATCCAGCCTTTAAAGAAAAAAACAAAGTACAGAGTCCATATTGATTACAGATAAAGCCCATAACCCATTCATTTTCCGTCTACTGCCTCCGAGCCGGGCTACAAACCTAACAGCTTTGTGTCTGAAGGCTAGGTGGAGGCACACAGATCAATCACGCCTTGCGATGCGTGCAATAACTGTCCCATGGCTCTGGAATTATTATTATGTAGTTAGTCACTTAATTATCTTGGCACAACTTAGCCCATCACTTGTCTTGTTAGTACTGTGGTCTGAACTTTGAATAAGCAGTTGTTATCTTAGAGAAGGGCTCTGAATGTTATAAAAGATGGACGTTTGTGTTAAGTGATTTTCTTTACCTGCTTTGGCCTCGACTTCATTGTCCACTCATTAAAACGTTTGGTAATATGGAAGCGTGTCTTGTCCAGCACCTTACCTTGTCCGACATGCACTGATACAAAGGTCTTCCCGGTAAGACAGTGCAACTAAAAGTTACTTCAGCTTGCAGGGTAAATAGTTTTTTTTGTCTGCTCAGCTGTAGCAAATTGGAACAGCTTAAAAAACCACCTGCATGTGCAATGAAAATGTCAACAACATTCGGTTTAGATTGTTTGGTCCTAAACTCAATTTCACGCTCTTTGACTAAAATACTTCAGGCACAGAGGGGGATGCCATTCAATGTAAATGGAAGCTGAAAATAACATCTTGGTACTGTACAATGAGTTCAAAACTTGAATGGCTTAACACAAAGAAGCTGCGATCATTCAAGTGATAATCATTTAAATGTGCAGTAGAACCAATCCAACCACATACACCAAAGCTGTTTTGGACTCCACTGAACTGTGTCCATGTCGGTCATACATTGTTGCTACCAAAATCATGTTTGTCCTTGGCTTGTTAGCTCCAGTTGATAATACAGTTTGTTAACACAGTCCCTCCAGCTCAATCAAACACATCGACTTACCATCCTCTTACAGCCTCGAAAGCTATCAAACCATGTCTGATGTATCTCTAATCGACAGTATTGTGTGTATTATATGTGGATTTAAGAATTACTGTTTGGCGAGAACCCTTAAAGGTCACATATTATGCAAAATGCGCTTTACCATGGTCTTCTTACACTAACATGTGTCCCTAGTCTGTCTACAAACCACCCAGTAATGAGAAAAGTCCATCCTCTCCGTCTTTT